TAAATTGGTTTTAGATTCACAGCAAAATTGATAGGAAAATCCAAAGAGTTCCCATATAACTCTGTTCCTACACACACACAACTTTCCCCACTCTCAAAATCCCACAGCAGAGCAGTGCCTTTGTTGCAATCAGTGAACCTACATTGACACCTCATTGTAGCCCAGAGTCCATAGTTTGCCTTAGGGTTCATTCTTAGTGTTGTACATTCTAGGGTGTGGACAAATATATAATGACATGTGTCCACCATTACAGTATCACACAGAGTAGTGTCACTGCCCTAAAAATCCCCTGTGCTCCACCCATTCATCCCTCCTTCCCTGCAGACCTTGGCAACCTCTGATATTTTTACTGTTTGCATAGTTTTGCCTTTTCCAGGGTGCCATATATTTGGAAATATACTGTTCAGATAGCCTTCTTTCACTTGGTAATATATATTTAGGTTTCCTCCATATCTTTCTGTGGATTTGCTCATTTCTTTGGGTTTCTTTGCTCATTTCTTTTAGCACTAAACAGTATTCCATTCATTCACTGCATTGTATGTACCACAGTTTATTCATCCATTCACCCAATGAAGGACATCTTGGTGGCTTCCAAGTTTGGCAATTATGAATAAAGGTGCTATAAATATCCATGTGCAGGTTTTGTGTGGACATAAATTTTCAGTTCAGTTGGGTAAATATCAAGGATCGTGATTACTAGATGGTGTGGTTAAGAGTATATCTAGTATTTTAAGAAATTGCCAGTCTTCCAAAGGGTCTGTATCATTTTGCACTGCTACTGATGGACAAGAATTTCCATTGCTCCACATACTTGCCAGCATTTGGTGTTGTCAATGTTTTGGATTTGGGGCCTTTTAATATGTCAGTAGTTGTATCTTATTGTTGTTTTAATTTGCAATTTCCTAATAACAAATGGTGTTGAGCATCTTTTCATATGCGCATTTGCCATCTGTATATCTTCTTTGGTGATGTGTCTGTTCAGGTCTTTAGCCCATTTTTAAATCAGGTTGTATCTTTTTTTACTGTTGAGTTTTAAGAGTTCTTTGTGTATTTGAAATGACAGTCCTTTATTAGATACTTTATTAGCCATTATTTTCTCCCAGTCTGTAGGTAATCCTTTCATTTTCTTGACCCCCCAATATTTTAATCATACCACACTTATGGCATTAGAATATTTTAATGATGCTTTTGCATTTCTTGATGGCATCTGAGGCACAGAGAAAATTATGTGTTTTTTTCATATTTTAATATTAATTTGAAAAGAAAGACTTTTTAAATGAAGGACAACCAAAAATATCATGGTCTTATTTATTTCCAATGTTTTTTAGAAAAGAAAAAAAAAAGAAAGAAACAAAGAAATTGAATGATCTGAAAAATATATCAAAAATAATTTAAAGGAACTATTCCTCCTTGACTAAAAATATGTATGTGTGTGTATGTGTGTGTTTAAACACATTTATATAATCCATGGGGCCCTTTAAAATATGACTTTGCACCATATAGCACCACTGGTTCCTTCTGAAGGAGTTAGAATCTTTGGAGTCTACCTTGAAATGTGATATTATGTTTCCAAGTATACCACTTATCACGGTTTCCAGCTTTTGTATTATTATTACGTGTCATTTTTCCTTCTCTTCCTGTTTAAATAATGTACCTGCATTATAGATGAGAAAAATGAGGGTGCTTATGCTAGAATTTGGTGGATTGCAATTTTTTTTTTATATTCCAAGTAGATAGAATAGAACTATTAAACTGACTTTTTAAGATGTGTCCTAATTGGCCATTGTGGTTTTGATTCTGCCTTAACTATTTGGAATAAGGGTTTTTTTTTTTTTTTTTTTTTAAATCTAACAAATATCTCAAATCATATGTGGTTCAGTAACACACAGAGAGGATGAGAATCAATGTTACCTGATACTGACTATTAGCATTTACTGACCTTCGGATGGCTGATTCATTGCCATGTAGAAATCTGGCCAAAGCTCATCTAGGGAAACTCTAAGCTTGTAGTAGGATGTTTCTATTGCTTCAAACAACAATAACACACAGTGTTTCTTTCCGATGTGTGTTCAAAAAAATGTTTGTAGGTGCATGGCGTGTGGTTCTGTTTTGGGAATTTCATATATGTTATCACATAGGTACCTTGCTGTGGTGCTTATAGGGTTTCTCATTCCAAGTGTGCAAAATGTGCTTTCCCATCCATTTATTCCGGTGTCACGGACCACTGAGGTCAGGAATCTCACCTCGTCTACTCATCAGAGCTTTCAAGCTTGTAGCAGCGAAGGTAGGAATGCATTGTTTTCTTGGCCCAGTCAGTTGGAAATGCCTTTAGCACCTGAATGGTCAACTGTGCCAAATACAGATTCTATTTTAATTCTTGCATGAAGATGTGTATAAAGTCATTGGAGCTTTTTTGTTTGTTTGTTTTGCTCTTTCAAGATGCAGACTCTACTTTCATCTTTTTCATATTTATTCCAGATTTATTGGTCCCAGGGTTGCTCTTGGTTTTCCATCATTGATTAAAATAGAAGGAGTACCCTGATTAAGAATATATTTAGGGATGAATCTAAGAAACATTGAGTATTTTTTACAACACTTAGCCAGTTATATTTATAAAATACATTAAAATGCTAAGAGGCTTGGCCAGGAAACATGTACTTTTTGCACAAAGAAGAAAATGTTTCTTTTTAAAAAAATATTAAAATGTGAACCTTTCTTGTCTTATTCATGTTCCAACTAGTGAGTTGTGTATGGTTCAGTTAAGATAAAATGAATGCTTATTGTTCCTACATATCAGTTAATAAAAAATTAAACCCAATAAGAATATACTGTTTAGAGCAGAGAAATGATGCTGTTTAGACCAGAGGAATGATATTTTTTTAATGTCACACTCAAAACCACATTTCTTTTAATCAACATCTGCTCTGCATTAAGCTGTCTATAAAATCTGGTGCCCTGTTGACAGAGGAAGATGAAAACAAACAAACAGGAAAACTACAAAAGGCATGGTATTAACATCAAAGTAGAATAACCCCGCTCTCTTACTTTGGCATTTGAAAAACGTCTTTATTTTAACCCTAAACAATTGGATTTTCTTCCGACCAGTCTTGATTTTGGAGCTCTGGATTAAGAAGACTTGCATGCAAACTGCAATGTGAGAGTAAAGGCAACCAAGAACGAACAAGGAACTGTTTAAATAAATTAAACCATTTGCAACTGTAAAACCTCCTTTATTGTTTGGGACAATCAGAAAACAGCACCACATCTGTTTGCATGTTAAATTCATGCTCTTCAGCCATAAAGGCAGGTACCACACAGAAGGCAAACTGATCCCAACTGTGGTTTTATAAATCTGCAAGTTAAGTAGTTCAATGGTTTGAGATTATGGAGAATGAAAGAGGGATCTCTTGGATTTTTTGTGGATAATGAAGTTTGGGAGCATCATTCCTTTTTGTTATTGAGAATGGTTATCTAGATCTGTCTTCATACTTTTTGATTAGCTCTGTGTCTGTACTAAAAACAAAATAAAAGTAATGTGTGGGATGCCTCACCTTACAGCAATGTTAATTAAGGATATCTCCATTCTGCAGGGATTGTGACTATTATGAAAAATGTACACACTAATGCCTTACACAGGGAAATTAACTATATATTTGTTTATTAACTTAACAGCATCTAAGTAACCTAACAGCCAGGTAGTATGTTATGTGCTGGGGGTACAGAGATAAGCAAATCATAGCCTCTGACCTCCTGGAGCTAGTGGAAGAAACAAACTAACCATCATCATGAACAACCACAAAAATCAATTGCCATACAGGTTAAGAGGTTGTAGGAGAAGGTCTTTCCTGCCATGCACACTTCTCAGAAGGTGGCACATTCCTCTACCACCATGTGATTGAGGGATTCATATACTACGTAAGGAAAGATAAATTAGTCACTAAAAAGAAAAAAAATGTAGTGAGCATTTTTCTTTCAAAAATGAATATTTTGAAAAAAATTATTTTATTTATTGATAGCTTTGCATTTCACTTTCCACTAATAGGATCTTATCCAACTATTATTATTTGCAGAGCAAAATATTATTATTATTACTATTATTATTATTATATAATTATTGTTATCACCATAAGCCCCAGGTAAGATATTTTTACAGGGTTATTCCAAATTCATTCTTCTTAGGATCACTTCATTCGAGGACAATGCTTTCTCTCTCTCTTTTGTAAAGACTTCTGCATAGCATTCTTGGCTGACAATTTGTTTCTCTTAGTATTTTGAATACATAGATTGTCGACAGAAAAACTGTGGCTAACTCAGGCGTTTGGTACTTTTTTTGTTCAAAGAAATCCAAGAGAGCTTCTTGGAGAAGAGCTATGAGCATCCACTGAAAATGTGAACATGAACACAGACTTTAAAGTGCCGCATCCAGGACCCTTTCTCCTATGGCTCATTCTCCCCCCATCCCCCTTTTTTCTGACTACATCTACATGTCTCTTGATTTTCTCTTACAAACATGGATTTGAGAGAGAGCCATGGAAGAGAATTTTGAGGCTAGAAGCTGTGGTCAGGAAGGCCAGACGAGGACGGGACAGGAAAGCCTCTTTTGTTATGTAGAGAAGACAGGACATGGCACAGGAGGTGACTGAAAGGTCAGAAGGATCCTGTGTTGTTTGATTCATGCATTGCTTGGATTTCGCCCTTGACCTGAGTTTCTAATCAACCAGTCCTGTAATGGAGTTCATTCATCCTCACGGTGTTCTCCAGCTTAGCGCCCCCGTGTGGGGAGCTTGAGTACCGGCGGAAGGAACAGAGATTGGGGAGGGGACAGGACAGGAAGAGTTTCACAGACTCTTGGGAGTCACTGGAAAACTACGATGTGTAATAATGAATATGCTAATAATAAAACATCAAAATTTTAAAATATAAATAAATTTTATCAAATAAAAAATGAAACTGTGGTCTTATAAAGTATAAAAAAAAAAGTCACTGGTATGGGGCCTATAAAAGTCACCTCCTCAAAGCGATGGCTGCACTGAACTAATGGCACCAACCCTTCTGGATTTTCTGGCTACTTTCTAACGTCACTGACTTGGAGCTTTGTTGACTTCGGCGTGCGTTGGAGTCACACTTCTGTGGCTGCGTTTGCATGGCTCAGGGATCCCATACTGAGGAGCTGCCCGGCCACACAGAAGGGTGAGTCTTTATGAGGAGTTTATTTTATCTTATTTTACATCTTTCTTTTCCAGGTGAAGCCCCAAGTTTGAAAACAAAAGACATTATTTTACTCTAGTATTTTTTTTTTTTTTCACTCATAAGAGACTTGGAATTTAGTCCTAAGACTGCTTTACAGCAATAAATACAGGTTAAGATGTAGATAAAAATAGATATATAGATAGTATGCATGCTAAACGTGAAAGATAGCAAATCTCTGTGTTAACCCCTTTCACAGACATATAACCCAGAGTACGTCCCAGGTATTCTTACATTTGTTCAGGTTTCACGAATCCTCATTAATAAAGGTTCAGGAATAGTTAAAATTGAGCCCAAAGAACAAAAATCCCCTGGTGAGATAGAAAACACATAACCACTTATTTCTCACTCGTAAAACCAAGTTAACCTTTAAAACGATCTATTTCTCTCCACTTCTCTCTCACCCATGCCTGCCTGAGTTCCTGACCTTGTTTCTTTCCTTCTATGTCTGTTCACTTCTGCTTTTCTTTGTTCTCATTAATTAAACAATAGGTATGAGGCAGCTACAGAATGCACGAAGTCCAATTCTAGTTGCAGTGTCTGTATTAAGACGACACAAACAATGAACGTTTTTTGCAGGTGAATATTGTAAAGTAAACTGTTCCATTAATGCTTTATACTTAAAGTATAGTGAGACAGACTGTACATTATGTTAAGAAATCTTTCTCCTCTCTCTCTATATATCTATAACCTATCTATCTGTCTGTCTGTCTGTCTGTCTGTCTGTCTACCTATATAAAATATGTTGATAAGCCTGTGCAAGATTATGGCATTCAATGGGTAAGAATACCCAAGAGGTCTTCCCACTTAATGGTCCTAGAATAAGCCCCTTTCTAAGGTAATCCATTTTCCTTCATGCTATTTAAAAATAAATCAGGGTGCATTTTTAAATTACGCACATCAGAGCCATATTCAGCCGGTTGCTTCACATTCACAGGGGATTTCTGGGATCCACCCTGACATTGCTATTCCTGCCCCCACTCCACGGTACGAGAAAACACTGTTATTTACCCCGGGACACAGGTGACTGAACTTATAAAAATCACTACAAGACAAGATGTATGGAGGCCTGGCATGGAATGACAAATTCTGGTGAGGTTCACCAAGAAGAGACATATTGATTCTTAAATGATTAATAAGGAGAATATAATTGTATTTCATTAAGATGGATGGGATTTCACTTAGCCTGTCTTCTCTCTTTCCAGTTCAGGTGCAAGAGGAAATCGAGTCATCATCAGTGGCACCTCGCGTTAGCCTGCCATGGCAACAAGCTCATTGATTGAGTAAAAGAACTTTCAGATGCACTCGCGGGTCTTTCATAAGTTGCTGAAAGCACAGATAAGACGGCCAAGGGAACAGACCGAGTTTCCGTGGATATGTAGAAAACGAATGGAAATTCGCAGTATGATTTTTCATGGGTTTCTAATAGAGCTAAGGCCTGTTGTAAAATTCTAAGACTGGAGTACAAAAGCATGCCTGCTTCGTTCCTTTAGTTATAGCTATCAAAGGCAGGGGGGTGGATCAAGTCTGTGGAGCAGTCACAGAGCACTTTGCACTACAATTTTGCTCTATTAAATTACACTCATGCAATAATAATAGCTAAGGGTTATTGAGGATTTAATTTTTTTTTTTAACCCGACAACTATTTTTCAAAACAGCCTTGGTGCTGAGTACTATTTATATCACCATTTTACTGATGAGAATGCTGATGTTCAGAGTGACACCCATCCAAAAAGGGTTAGTTCAGCCTTGAACCCAATACATTCTGATCCCAATTTTAAAATAACTTGGTTTTCTCAAAAGGCCTTTCAGTATATGGAGAAACAAATCTGAGGGTAGCAATGTGATGCTTAAGTGTGTGGACTTTGGAGCCAAACTCTCTGATTAAGACCAGCCCCACCACTTAATAGTAAATCAGTGAGTTACTTAAAACCTATGCCTCCGTTTCCTCATCTGTAAAATGGGTTTGTGGTGAGGCTGAAATAATTGTGTAGAGTGCTGAGAAGGCAGTGTCTCAGTGCACAGAACATAGCGAGCATGTGGGAATATGAACACTGGCCTGGGTTTGAGTTCCTCTCTGTTGGATGTCATTTGCCCAGGATGACAAGCTCCTCTACACAGCTTTTCAGGTCTAGCTTCTCCCATTCCAATATCCATGTCCAGGGAAAATACATTCTGTCCATTCTGCACAGGACAGTGAGAATATTTCCTGAATAATAACTCGAACTACCCCATTGCTTAACGGTTAGGAGATTTGTTTTTGTCATCTATGAAAGAAAGTCAAAAATGTTAACCAGTTTGTGGCATGTTGTGATGGTTACACGAGATGAAGCATGTAAACCCAGCCCAGTGGCTTGGACATGGTAGGTCCTCCACAAATGTGTCATTTCTGTTAGTATTGTGGTTATTAAGGCAGCACAGTGATAGCAGCAGTAGTAAAATAGAGAGATCTGCCTAATCCAAAATTCTATTTAATAAAGAAGTGACTACATATAGCCTCTACAGTTTCTAATTTTCCAAGAACTAGCATATAAACATGCACTCAATGAGAAAGCTGAGATTAATATATTATTATAATTTGATGATGCAGAAGATGTTTGAGATCCCTCAATTATCATACTTTATGCATTCAAAAGTATAACTTCGTGGAGATATTCAGTAGAGAAAATGCCGACTAGGCCAGCTTACAGTGGAAACAGTTTTTCAGATTCTCCCAAAATACAGGGTAATAATACATACAGAAGTTTTTTGAAAAAAAAAAATAGGCAGCATAGAAACAGTACTATTATTACTTTTTAAATATTATACAATCATTTAAAATGAGACAAAAAGAATAAATATATGGCCTTTTACTAAGAGGGAAACTGAAATCATTTAAAATGAAACAAAAAGAATAAATATATGGCCTTTTACTAAGAGGGAAACTGAGGCAGGGAGAAAAAATAATTCTAGGATTGAAGCCAAAGAGTCCCTAATTTTCAGTGCTGCACTCTGCTGACAATGGCCAGTTCTAACATGTGCTTTGAATGTCATCATAGTCACAGGTAGGGTGTGTTTGGACCACCAGAGTGATGTGATTCTGACTTTTGCGTTGTTTATAAATTACTTTGGATGAACCAGGTACTTTTACTGAGCCTCTGCGATGATGGAGGAGTAAGACACAGAGGAGTTGGGCACCTAAGACCTGAACCCTGAGGACTGAAGGAAGGTGCTTCCTGGCAGAGATCAGGGTTCTGTAGCTTTCATGATGGCTGGGCATCCCTCCAGGTGTCTTAAGGAACTCCCGAGTAACTCACTGGACCAGCAACTGTGCATGTGGCCTTCCAAGAGGGAGTGAGGGACACAGAGTGTTTGTCGGAGAATGAAAGATTTGTCTGTGTTTTCAAGTGTCTGGCAAAATGAAGGCAAAAGGCGTTGACAATTAGCTCTTAGTTCCTACCTTTGGAAGAGGCATTCACCTGTCAAGCAAGATGAAAGTGCCCATGAAGGGACGTTTGTACCAGCATAAAATGCAAACCCATTTGGACAGCAGAATGGGGCTCGTCCCAAACTTCAGGGTATATTTATATTAGGCGACAGAGAGTACACTTTCCAACAAAAATAAAATAAAGCTTAAATAGCACACGAGTCTCCTTAGATTTAAAATGATTCCCATAAAGTAACATTTTGATGATTTAAATGGAAATGAATCAGAACATATAGATTAAATTTCCTTGAATAACACATTGGCTTTTGTATATTTTTTATTAAATTTTCATTTCTAATATCCTGAAGTAGGTTCCCGAAAAAATTAAAAAGGAAGGAAGGGTAACAAAAACATGTATACGGCTCTGAGCATGATGTTGTTTCATAATATTTTCAGTGAATAAGAGAAATTTTAAAAAAATTAAGCTGGTATGAGTGCTTGCTATGCAATTTATACTGGGGACTTTGTCTCTGAAGACAAGATAAATTTGGAATAAAACAGCCAAAAAAAAAAAAAGTGGTTAAAATATAAGATGCTTCTCATTCAAGGAACATACTTTTAAGAGATTACCTTATATTGGGGCATTTTTGAATACTATCTGCATGGTAGGTTGAGATATGATTTCAATTTGAAACCAGGTTTTAAAGGGTAAAACAGATATAGTAGTGCTTATTAGAGGAATTCTTCTAATAAAATAAAAATCTTTTAAAAAGAGAAGCTTATGAAAAGAAATAGGAATATTCTAGAACCATTAACATTAACAAAATAATAACTCACTTGAGGAGCACTCTGCATTATCTCGTTTTATCTTCATGATGACCATGTTGTGTCATCTATGGTCATTTCCGTCTTCTACAGAAGTAGAAACCTAGGTTTATGGAGGCAAAGCAATTTGCCTAACTTTCTGTACTTGGGAAGGAGACTGTCTAATTCCCAACTCATGTTATGACCACTGCACAGCCCTGCCCCTCTTTTTAGGTTTAATCCTTCCATTTTGGTACAGTGCAAGTCCCAGTAGTTCCTCCAGAAAGAGACCATGGGAGGCAAATTATTGAGCCTTCCATACACGAAAATAACTTTTATTTGTCCTAAGCCATATGGATAGTTTGCCTGGGTATAGAATTCTAGGCCCCAAAGTATTCTCCTTCTGAATTTTGAAAGCATTGTGTTTTATCATTTTCTATCTTCTATACTACCATCAGGAGACTTTCAAGGCCATTCTGATTTCCAATCCTTTTTGTGTGACCTTTTATTTTTTAGCTCTTTGTAAGTTTTTGGTATTTTTATTTTACTCCAATGCTACCATAATTTTATGGCAATTTACAAAATTTCTAATCATTTAATTTAACTGCATAAAGAGTATATTCAAAAGGTATCTCACTCAGAATTTGCTGTATCTATGTGGTGAAAAACACAAAACAAAACAAATTAATCAAATATGATTCAGTCATCATCATCTCAGATACTGTTCAAGCCCTACTTGACTATGTACTCCTAGAAGGTAGTCTATATTTCTCACTGTTTTATTCCAAGCACACGGCACAGCGACTCTCATTTGGTCTCTGCTCTGCATTTTGACTATCATTTGGTTTCTGCTCTGCACTTAACTGTATGAATGAATGAAACCTTATTGTGTGCATAATACTGAACTAGGTGTTTGTGAAGATGCAAAACATATTTTATACTTAATTGTTCTTCTCTGAGAGTCCAAATTGAACTGAAGGTGCACAGAGAAGGCATGAAGTTAGGGCAGAATGCAGCTTTTAGGAGCCTTACAATCTTCATGCACAATGCCCCACACAGAGTGAATAGAAGCTTCTCTCTGTCTCCATCTCTATCTCTCTCTGTCCCTCTCTCTGACTCTCATAATAAGCTATTTTTGTTAGCAAAGAAAGAGATGAATAACATGCTGTGGGTTTTCTGTGGGTGTGATTACTGTATCTTTGGACAAATACTTGGGTTGTTTTCTTCCATATTCCCTGTGCCAGAACCCTTCATTTGGATCTTATCCTCTAATCATCAAGCACATTGATCCTTACGGGCCACAGAGCATGCAGACATTGCATAATAAAAGACCAAATGCCATACAAACTAGCAAATGCATCCTTAGCTCCAACAGCAAAGGTGAAAAGTATTTAGCATCTGACAAAGGCTCTGCACAGTGAGTCAGTGTGTCCACAGGACAAGATTGAGAATCTGAAGCTGTTGATTATAACCTTGGCTGTGACCTAAACTTCACACGCCTTTACTTCAAGTCATTTATAATGCGATGGCTGCGTTTGAATTACCTAGGAAGTTGTGCTGATACTCGGTATCGCGTCTATGCCAATGAGGACTAATTAGCTGCAAACAAAGTTGCACAATGGGCAGTGGAAATGGGAGTTTCAATTATATTTTAACAACCTGTTTACTGGTTCTCTGGTGTTTAGTATTCTTCAGGCTTATGAGTTTGCTCATGGAGGGCTTCAGGCAAGAAACCACAGAAAATTGATGGAGAGGATCCTGGATGCCCCCGTACATGGGCAATATTCTGTCACTCTGGAGTGTGATTACAACCTCTTTAAACACAGGTGCAGGGCTTTCTGCTAGTTTGAGAGAGGAAAGTACCCCATTTGGTGAAAAAAAAAATGTGGTTCTCATTTGAGGGAAAGTTCTTGGCCTGACATGGCCACGAGTCTCACTCAAAAGGCACAGAAAATAGTTATTAAATCAGAACATAGCCCACTCAGCATTGAAGAAAAGGTTTTAGACATGCAAATGCTATGTCTGTCAGCTTAGACAGAAGTAAATTTTATGATTAAAGAATGCAAATTTTTTGAATACTCCGAACAAGAATACAAAGCACCTTTTTTTTTTTTTTTTTTTTTGATGGAGAGGATCCTGCATGCCCTGGTACATGGGCAATATTCTGTCACTCCGGAGTGTGATTACAACCTCTTTAAACACAGGTGCAGGGCTTTCTGCTAGTTTGAGAGAGAAAAGTACCCCATTTGGTGAAAAAAAAATGTGGTTCTCATTTGAGTGAAAGTTCTTGGCCTGACATGGCCATGAGTCTCACTCAAAAGGCACAGAACATAGTTATTAAATCAAAACATAGCCCACTCAGCATTGAAGAAAAGGTTTTAGACATGCAAATCCTATGTCTATCAGCTTAGACAGAAGTACATTTTATGATTAAAGAATGCAAATTATTTTGAATACTCCAAACAAGAATTCAAAACACCATTTTTAAGAGAGAATAGTGGTTATTTAATGTAGAAAACTGGTGTGTACATACATTATTATTCCTAGCAGTAATGCATATTCTATTTGAAATGTGTATGTAATTCCCTTTGAAGAAATTTAGAGTACTTTATGTAGCTCTCCACATCTGTATTTGCTGCTCTAGTAAATTTGCCTAGTTATTTAGAGATATTATTATTTCTATTTTACAGATGGCCAAATAGGGGGTATGAGTAAGCTTTTTGGTATTATACTATACATCAGGAGCCATGGCACACACAGGAAATATAATCCAAACTACTTGATTCCCAAATGAATGTTCGTGTGAATAAATAAAACATACAGAACTAATGTTTTCTTTTGGCAGCTTCAATAATAGTACTTTTCTCTTTGTTAGTTTTGGCAGCTTCAATAATAGTA